TGAGACCTATATAATCTATCAGTTGTTTCAGCCAGAGTACGAGACTCCGGCTATATAATTACTTTATCATACCATAGGCAGTCTATGCCAGTGGGATATAGAAGAAAACCAGCAAAATCTGTCAGTGGGTTAAATTCTTCCACCGACGATGCTTGAGGGCAATACAGGAGATCTCATGGAGAGACCATATAACTAAAAAAAGAGGTCAAAGGGAGATCTGACCAAACTGATCTGCAAGACAAAAGCAGACTGCGGAGATGAGATGGAAGCCGAATGTGGGATACAGTTGTAGGGGCATACCTTTGAAGACCTGGAGGAAGACGGCAGAGAAAGACATGGCTGGGGTGGGGCTGACCTGGATGGAAGGTATAGAACAAGCCCAGGATCAAGAGGAACTGACTAAAGGAACTGACAGCATATTTTGGTGGAGCCAATGGTTTGCGAGAGCAATCTATCACAATTTAATCCTTCCTTCCTTCATTCCTTCCTTCCTTTCTTCCTTCCTTCATTTCATTCATTCTTTCCTTTCTTTCTTTCTTTCTTTCTTTCTTTCCTTCTTTCTTTCTTTCTTTCCTTTCTTTCTTTCTTTCTTTCTTTCTTTCTTTCTTTCTTTCTTTTTTTTCACTTTTTCAAATTTATTTTCCTTTTTTTCTTTTTTGTTATTCTTTTTCAATTTAATTATTTTTTCTTTCTGTTTTAATCATTTTTCATAATATTTGTTCTCACTGGCTGATCATTCGCTTTTAGATACACATAAACTAACGGATATTCAGCTAATATATATATATATATATGTGTGTGTGTGTGTGTGTGTGTGTGTGTGTGTGTGTGTGTGTGTGTGTATTTAAAAAATGAAAACTACAGATAAAGTTCACTTTCTTCAGAGACAGTCATTCATTCCTCTATTTACTGCTACTAACAAGCAGTTTTTTTCTCCTGATGATGGCCATGCTGGCCGAAACTAGTTGAGGAACATAATTGAAATAATAAAACAAAAAATATTAATATACCACCCAGTGCGGCTGAAAATGTTAATCTCTTAATATTTTTTATTGTAAAATACAAAACACACACACACACACACACACACACACACATATATATATATATATATATATATATATATATATATATATATATTTATTTATTTATTTATTTTAGGATATCCTAAAATAAATAATATTTAGCTCTACTTGTATGGAACCCTCTTTTTAAATTAAATTTACGGACAGTGGAATTATATTCCATTTGTTCTCATTTTACCTATATATATATATATATATATATATATATATATATATATATATGTGTGTGTGTGTGTGTGTGTGTGTGTGTGTCTGTCTGTCTGTCTGTCTGTGTCTTTGTCTGTGTGTGTCTGTGTGTGTTCATATACATGTGCGTATCGTGTGTAGTATATAAAAAAGAAATGAATTAAAGAAAGGGAAGACAACTCTTACCATTATTCAGCTGCAATTGCACCTCAACTGTTAGCATCTACATAAAAGACTTCCGGTCACATGATGATATTGGAGTGGATCAGCATTTTCTGACACTACCATAAAGTAGCAGTGGGTTTAACAAATGGTAAATCCAAAGTGTTCTAAAAAAGAAATAGAAAGAAAAAGTGGAAATCGTTATGTAAAATGAAATAATGAGAATCGAGTTGGAAAAGGAAGAGACGTTGGCGATGTACAATGGAAGAGTTTCACTAGTCAAATCGAAGCTTTTAAGATTATTGTTATTGGAGAAGGGGTTTATCCGTTGTTTCCTGTTTGGGATTGGGTTTCCAATTCCTTCTAAAGTCTATTTCAAATCTAGACTTCTAACGTCACCGCCTAAGCTCAGAAAATGTTTTTTTTTTTTTTTCAATTTTCTCAGTTTTCTTTTCTTTCTTTCTTTTTTATCGGGTGTAGAAGTTTATCCTTTGTTTCTAGTTCAGGGCTGGGTTTCCGTTTCTTGCAATCCCAGTAGGCCCCTTGTGTCTTAGAAGAATTATCGCTTTGCTTGTAGTGAATTGATTAGAAAAAAGAATATTGATGCATTGGTAGATAATTATGATTAGAATGAGAAGGATAGGACTGAAAGAAAGTAAAAAAGAAAGAAAGAAAGAAATTGAAATAGATAGATAGATAGATAGATAGATAGATAGATAGATAGATAGATAGATAGATAGAAAGAAAGAAAGCAATTTAGATAGATAGATAGATAGATAGATAGATAGATAGAGAAAGAAAGCAAGAAAGCAATTTAAATAGATAGATAGATAGATAGATAGATAGATAGATAGATAGATAGATAGATAGAAAGAAAGAAAGAAAGAAAGAAAGAAAGAAAGAATCCCACTAATATGTATATTTTTTATAATCAGGTGAAATCATTCGGAACTAAAAACCTTTGGACAATTTTTACATTTATTAAGACCAGAAAGATAAACACTTGCACGTAAAGAAGAAAAATATACTAATAAACAGATAGATAGATAGATAGATAGATAGATAGATAGAGAGAGAGAGAGAGAGAGAGAGAGAGAGAGAGAGAGAGAGGGAGGGAGAGAGAGAGAGGAACAAATGAAATAGAAAGAAAAGGAAAGAAAGTTGTGGGCTTGAAAAGAAGCTTTAAAAGCTGTTCTTAAAAGAAAAGAAAAAATAACTCATGCCACAAAAGATCAATTCGACTGTACATGAAAATAAATAATCAATTGCTAACAGTCCATCATCTGGCAATTAATAAACTGAAGCAAGAGAAGAGGAAAAAATAAAAAAATAAAACTGTGATAATTTTCAGCATTTTGTCTGACTCACCGCTTCAATAGCACCTGCTTGGAACAGATTAGGAAATTATGTTGTCATAGCAGCCGTTTCTCGCTGTGGTCATTACAGCCAACGCCACACCTGCATCCAATTCACCTGTTCGATTGGACGCAGTCTGTCCTATACAAACAGCTTTTACTTATAAATACACCAACGGCGGTTTCTTCGTCTGCCCAGGGTCCACACTTCCGCTGCCTGACCACCAACTGGCGTTCTTTCTGTTCCTTCTTCATTACCTTCCTTAACACACAGACACAAACACATTCTCTCTCTCTCTCTCTCTCTCTCATACATACATATATATATATATATATATATATATATATATATATGTATATGTATATATATATATATATGTATGTATGTATGTATGTATGTATGTATATTACTAAGTCTGCTGTGTAGTGCTAGATAATTTACTCAGCAGAATCTATATTACACACGTATATCTTTCGTCCTTACTTTGAATACTGCTGCCACAATTGGTCTGGTGCTCCTGCTATGTATTTACAGGTTCTAGATTAAATATATGGAAGAATCTGCAATGTTGCTGGTCATGACCTGGCATCTCGGCTTCAGTCACTTCACCACCGCCGTAACGTAGATTCCCTGTGTCTTTTCGATAAATATTTTTATGTTAATTCTTTTGATGTGCTTTCCTCTTTGTTAACTCGAATATAAGCGCAATACTAGGTTGGCTGCTAGGTCCCTTCATTTTAATGTTGACACTACTAGATGTAACCATAACAGTTTCTTCTTGACAGTAATTTCAGTTAAAAAGCAGAGGAATCTAAGCAAACACATGCATTCACTGAACATAACGTTTACAGTAATACATACATACAAACATATATATATATATATATATTCAAACATATATTGTTAAATATAACAGACAATGAATGTCTATTATGTTTGATTATGAGCCGTTCTAAGCTTCGTATATTTGTTTTAGGTTCGGGAGAAAATAAGGACAAAAATTGTCCAACATTTGAACGAGGAACAGTATAATAAAAAATATACAAATGTTGAAATGTTTGAATAAGGATCTGTTGCCCCAATGCTCTCTCTCTCTCTCTCTCTCTCTCTATATATATATATATATATATATATATATATATAGTTTATGCAAAACTAGGTAATCCGTATGGGTAGACCCAAGGAGGATGATATCCGGAGAGCTCAATGTAAATTCAGAGCAAATATGTTTGAATAAAAACAGACCACTTTAAGGTTCCATGTAATAAACTGTTCCACCACAGCCTTTTTAAAGGGTCTGATCATATATATATATATATATATATATATATATATATATATATATATATATATATATATATATATATATATACTGGACTCTTTCTGTCGTTTTCAATGTATGAGAGTAAGCAGCTCAGTTCTTAGAAGCGACTTGAGCATTACAACAAAAAGTGCACCATCAGGAACGGAACTATTAGGCTACCTCCACACTTGCAGTATTTGTAGAAAAGTCACGCTCTCAGCATCTCGTTTAGCCAGTCACATAAAATCAGAGCAGAGAGGGGGGATCAGGTTCAAACTCCTATCTATGCAACGCTTCTAGAAAAAAAACCTACAGATTATTCGTGCCAGTTATGTGATAAATTTATGTCTGTCCCGGGACTTAAACGTCACATTGTTGTAGACAAGGAAAGGCAAGTTTCCAACATACGTAACACAGACAAACTTTGCCACGTGTGTAAGAGAAATTTTAAAAATAAAGCTGGCCTTAAGAATCAATTAAGTGCCCATAGCAGAATGTTATCTCAGGTATAAATGATGGAAATAATAAAATTCTGAATGAAAAACACAAAAAAAACTACCAAGTAAAGAGATTGTCTTATTCTACAAAGAAGTGGCAGACGTTATTTTTAGTCGATACTCGTATTTGAAATAAACGCCTCGTTTTATTTCCAACAGTCTATACTAAATATTATCGACCTGTGCACTTGAGATATCTTTAAAAATGACCTTTGATTGGTTGATTAAAATTTTTTTACATTGTAAGAATTCTTTGCAGATAATAATGATTTATCGATACAAGTCGTACTAATTAACCCATAGCTGGGGAAGTAGTGGATTCATACTTTTCACTAGGGTATTTGCGCGTAAGTGAATATAAATGGAATTGAACTCAGCTCTCCGATTTCCAATTATGAGCCGTTATCCAAGCTTACATCGCCTGGCATTCCAAAGCTGTCATCCAAGCTGGTATTGACCAGGCTCGGCGTTGCTTAACTTCGGTGATCGTACAAGAACCGGTGTTTCAACCTGATATGGTCGTAAGTAAAAAAAAGAAAATTTGCTATATATTCATTAACAATGACGTTTGAAGTAATAAAAATGCCGGATTAAAAATAAAATCTCTTTACAGAAGAAAGGCATCTCTTCACCGATGGGCTGAACGGCTGTGGGCCCTCAGGTTACTTTGAAAACCTGATTCACTCGGGCATACCTTTTTACATACGTGATACACGAAGGACTTTTGGAGAGTCTTGAAAAGTTACTTTCTTCTTGTACGTTCTCATGTGCCATTTCAGCACGGCACCAGACCTGTAAATTTTATCATAAAACTGATATAAAGAGAGAGAGAGAAGGGGGAAGTAAATAGAGAGAGGGGGAGGGAGAGAGAAAGAGGGGGAGGGAGAGAGGGAGATAGATATATTAAATAACTAAAAGAACCAAAGATGTTGATCAGAGGCTTGAGGCGTTTAGCATTGATACCCTTAGGAATTATATCTTCTTTTTTTTTCTACTGAGTTGAACACGCATGCGTACGCAAACGCTTTTCAAGCCGCGATGAAAGCAAGGCGTACTTTAATCTATGTTATAGAAATAATGGCATTCGAAAGGAATTATGTTTCGCTGAGACAGAATCAAAGGAAACAAAAACCTCAACGAAACAGCATGAATAGAACCGTTTTCCTATAGTGGGCATTAAAAAGACTATCAAACATATTTCCCTGACCGGGACAAAATTCTGTCGATTCGAACCTGTTACGATATCCTAAAAGAATCTGAAACAATCATAATAAGTGTTTTCCTAAAAAACGGATATTTCAAACCTGATTTAATATACCAGGTTGGCCAAAAAGTCTTGTCTCAGGAAGCAGAAAGAATACAACAAATTGTGATCTCTGTTTGGTGGAATTTCCAAAGAATACTGCGTTTCGAGGTTGTTCCATACGGTCGCGCCATCAACGTTAAACTGTATTGCCAGCATCTAGACAAGCTAAAGAAGGAATATCCTGCTTTGGTCAATCGAGATTGGGATTTTGTTTCAGCTAAACAATGCGAGGCTACACACTGCCAGGTTGATTAAGGAGAAATTCAACCAGATGGACGGTTTAGAGATTCTTCCACATCCACCATTCAGTCCCAATGTTTCTCCGAGTGACTAACACTCACACTCTTTGGGTCCTGTCACTGGATCTAACTAACGCCTTTATCCACTGTACCATGTGTCCTTGAGGACGTTAGTTAGATCCAGTGACAGGTCCCCAAGGAGTGTGAGTTCAATACCCGGTTAAGGCAGTGGAGAACTTTCAAAGGGAAATTAACTGGAGATAACTGATAACTGACATCCATTAAACATGGCACATGGAACTAGAACAGTCTACCCAAGTGAACGAAATAAAGGGTTAAGTTCGACATTCCAACCACCTGAAGAAGGCCGGAGCGTACAACGGCCGAAACGTTGTAATAAATATGATGACAAAGATGATGACAATAGTCCGAATAATGTAAATAATGATTAATTCATACCTATTAAATTTAAATCGGGAATACACCTTAAGTCCTAAAACTTTTCTTATGATCATTCTGTCGCGACGTGAGGGGCTTTAAATATACCCCCCGATTGCATATCCGTCAGAGGAGTAATTTTCCGTGTTCATGCTTTCAAATTCGGGTATAAACCAAACCTTTTTGAATCAAATATAGATTAGACCCATGTCTACCGTTTGAGCAGCTTAAACTGAATCTACTGTATGTGTACCTTTCAGACTTCAGTGTAAACCGAACCTATAAAGATTCAGTGTAAACCGGAACAACGTCTACATTTTTGTGTTTAATATAAACAGGATCTATATCTACCTCTTCGAATCAAAATTTAGCCTGAATTATGTCTACCTTTTTGTGTCTAATTTAAACAAAACCTATAACAATCCTGAGGAATCACGGTGGAGTAATGGATACCGTTTCGGATTGAGGAATCAGAGAACCGAGTTCGAATTCCAGTCGAATCCATTGCATTCACTTATTCACCTTGGGAAAGGTATGAATCCTCTTCTTCTCCCCCGGTTAGGGTTAAATAGCAGAACAGACTGGGTTCCATGGATGGTAACTGGTCTACTGCGGGAAAAATTCTGCCTCGTCAGTCATGTATTTGAATATCGTCTAAGTGTGTATCACGCATGGCATATAACTGTTGTCTTTTGAATCAAGTGTAATCTCACCTGATGTCTACATTTTTATTCAAGTTTTAACCAGAATTGTATCTAGCATTAGAATTAAGTCTAAATTGGACCGAAATCTACATTTATGTATCTAATGTATATCGGTTGTATATCTACCTTTTTGCATTATGTTTACACCTGATCTATGTCCACTTTTTTTGTCTAATGTATGTCAGAACGACATATACCTTCTGAATAAGGTTTAATCACGAGCTTTGTCTTGCTTTATGACTCAAGATTAAACTGGACCTCTCTATGTTTACATTTAGAATCATTTTTAAACCGGACCTATGTCTACCTTTAAAATCTTGTTTAAACTGAAGCTTTGTCTTCCGTTTGACACAAGTTTTGAGTTTAGTGTAAATCTGATACTGTCGTCTTCATAACTTTACTGTAAAATGGACCCATATCTACTTTCTAATGTAAACCTCATCTATGTCTAATATTTTAAATCTAGTCTAAACTGAACCAGACTGTCTGCCTATCTATTGATTCATTATGATTTTTTTCCTATAAAATTTCTATTTAACATTAAACAACCCCAAAAGGATTGATATGGCGTTAAACTAACCAACCAACATATTTTTTTATTTGTAAATACAACTCCACATATTTTACGTACTTCTTTGTCTTCTGTATCGAAGAGCAAGTGACACTTTAAAACCTGATTTTAACGGAAGTGTGGATTTCCCCTGATGATTTTAAAGGTAAGTAAATCCCTTTCACAGTTGGATGACTAAGAAACTAAAGTCTTCTGAGTTCACCCGCCCTCTATTGGTAACTGGAGTAAGCTAAGATTATTAAATATTATTACGTATACAAACATGATTGGCTTAGATTTACAAAAGTTGTTATCTATTAAGAAAATGATCTCTATTCATATAGAGGATGTTTGTTCTGACTTCTTTCTGGACAGTCCGTCAATTTTAATATTTGAAAAACAAATTCAGTTAAAGAGAATAAAACCGAAATCAAGCTAATTTTCTCATAGCTCTAAAAGAGGAAACAGTTTTCACCGTTATTTGCAGAGATTACATTCAAGCTCTGCTAATATCTGAATAATTAGCATATCAAAAATTAACATATCAATAATTAACATATCAATGTGGATTCGTCAATCAGTTATTTCATTTGTTCATTTTATTATGAATCATTATTATTATTTTTATTATTTCATTTTATTTATTTATTTATTTTTTTGAAGTTGTGAATCTGACAGATTTAAAGACGATAAGATTCGCTTTTAGTTATTATTATTGTTGAGTCGATGTATTTGAAGAAAAAAATATTCAGACAGCTTGGAGCATGCGCAGAACGGATATGAAACATTTTCAATGATTTTTTTAATCCCTTAAATTTTAAAAGACTGAATTTGTCCGAGATTTTTTTTTAAATATTTATTTGTTTTTCTTTTTCTTTTCTCGGACAGAATTGAAGTTTCGAAAGACTGGAATTTAATCATATGAAGAATGGAAAGGATAACGATAATGTTGAAAAAAGGACAGGGCATCGGTTGAGATGGTAAAAGCGAATGGGAAATAGATTCATAATGAAAAAGGGGAGAAGAGAAGACCTGAATGTCAGATTTGAGGAAAAGGAAAATTAAGATGGAAGCGAGAAATAAGAAAAAGCTTTGAGAGACGGCGATGGAGATAAAGAGAAAGTTGAGATTATCTGATTATAAAAAAAGCAAGAAAAACAATATGAAGGAGAAGAATATAAAAAAATGAATAGGAGAAAGAAAGAAAGAAAGAAAGAAAGAAAGAAAGAAGGTAGGGGAAATGAAAGCTACCTTCAGGAAGGAAATAAGAAAGAGTAAACGTAATGATATCAAGTTAAGGAAGAAAGAAAAGAAGAAATGGGAAAAGAAAGAACAAGAAAGAAAGAAAAAACGAATGTGCAGAGAGGAAGAGAGAGAGAGAGAGAGAGAGAGAGAGAATAATGAAGCGATGTGTTTTATGGGGAAATATTCAAGAAGAGAGAAAAAGCAGAGTAACTGAGGAGGAATAGATGAAGAAGAAGAAAACGAAGAAGAAAATTAGAGAACCTAAAAAGAAGAAAATGATAAAAAAATGAAGAAGAAAAATAGAAAGCCTAAAAAGAAGAAAATAAAGAAGAAAAAGAAGAAGAACTGGAAAATGTAAAAAGAAGGAAACACAAAATAGGACAAAAACAAAAAAAAATGAAGAAGAATAAACACTTTAAAGAAGAAGAGGAAGTAGAAGAAAAATTAGAATAAAGAGGAAAATGTTAAAGTAAATCTAAAAAAGAAAATATAGTAACAGAAGAAGAAGAAAAAAGAAGAAGACGAAGAAGAAGAAAAAAGAAGAAGAAGAAGAAAGAAAAAGAAGAAAAAGAAGAAGAAGAAGAAAGAAGAAGAAGAAGAAGAAGAAGAAGAAGAAGAAGAAGAAGAAAAAAAAGAAGAAGAAGAAGAAGAAGAAGAAGAAGAAGAAGAAGAAGAAGAAGAAAGAAGAAGAAGAAGAAAAAGAAGAAGAAGAAGAAGAAGAAAGAAGAAGAAGAAGAAGAAAGAAAAAGAAGAAGAAAGAAGAAGAAGAAGAAGAAGAAGAAGAAGAAGAAGAAGAAGAAGAAGAAGAAGAAGAAGAAGAAGAAGAAGAAGAAAAGAAGAAGAAGAAAGAAGAAGAAGAAGAAGAAGAAGAAGAAGAAAGAAGAAGAAAAGAAGAAGAAAAAAGAAGAAGGAAGAAGAAGAAAGAAGAAAAAGAAGAAGAAGAAGAAGAAAGAAGAAGAAGAAGAAGAAGAAGAAGAAGAAGAAGAAGAAGAAGAAGAAAGAAGAAGAAGAAGAAGAAGAAGAAGAAGAAGAAGAAGAAGAAG